AGTTTGGTTTGTGTCGTCAGCATGTCGAGAAGACGCTGTTTTCAGCGCTGTGAATGCACTTCATTCTAAGCACTATATGCAATTCTCGCGCTAGAATTGATACAGAAAACAAATTAAGCCATCGTTGCTGTTCGTATCACTGTGTGTATACAAGCACTGAGGAAACCGAGCCCGTTCTCATCCTTTGGCGTCATATAGGTGACGCCATATGACATTTCGTTGAAATACTACGCACATGGCAACCTTTAGCGTGAATATAACACGCAGAACCCAAGGCGTCATACACGTTACTGGCATCCTTTAGCGTCAATATGAGACGCAGACCCTACCCCAGACCTAAACCTACCCATAACAGTGCGTGTTATATTCACGCTAAAGGGTGCCATGTGCGTAGTATTTCAACGAAATGTCATATGGCGTCACCTATATGACGCCAAAGGATGAGAATGTGTTGGAGCACCACAGGAGCTGAAATTCAAATGATGGTAATAGCTGTAAGCGGTAGACCAATCACAACAGACTGGGCTGTCTGACCAATCAGAGCAGAGTAGGCTTTTGGAAAGGAGGGGTTTAGAGAGACTGAATCTTCGAACGAACCGTTTTCAGACTCTTTGAGAAATGAGATGATGTGCCACGTATATTATGAGAACATTCAAGTGTTTTTTTACTTTGGATGCATGTAAACCTATTGTAGGAGACCTCCAAAACAAAATTAGAAACCTTTAACCCTTGTGTTATGTTGCGGGTCAATTTGACCCGTTTCGATTTTCAAGTTGTTGGAAATACTGGTTAACCTTTGTTTTTTGTCTTGATATTTTGTGACTTTTTCTCATTTATCATGATGAACATGCATGCAAAGTTTCAACATGCTGATGTGTTTTGACATATACAAACAAAATTACTGTTTCGTTCGTGATGTTCGCGGGTCAATTTGACCCTCATAGACAGCCATTCAAAAGCAACTGTACAGACACAAAATAAAAACATATATTTTCTGTATGTAAGGGCACTTCAACTCCAGTTCTAACGTGCAAGTGCATCTAAAAGTGCTCTAACCCTAACCAAACACACTTGAAAAAGCTAAAATTAGTGTTCAGAATTATTTGCAAATTACAGATGAAAATCTTTGTCAGACACAGATAGTAAAATAAGCTCTCATTTCAATATTCAAAATATCTAAAATACCTAGCTTTTAACCAAAACCTTTATGTAGGATTTTCAAAGGCAGCTTCACAGAGCCAAAAATTAAATACATTTATTTGATGTATGTTTTTGTTATGTTTGTTTTCGCACTTCCCGGTGAGTGAATAATGAAACTAGGAAAATAGGTCTTAGGAAACTAGGGAAAGTTAATTTAGGAAAATGAAAAAATTTCATTATACAGAAAAAAAAATTGTTCAGTTACGATGTTCAAAGCATAAAATGTAAAAAATAATAATAAAAAAAGTAAAAAAAAATATATGCAAAAAAAAATCAGTATACTGTTTATTTTCCAATTTTGTCAAAACAAAACTGTTTAAAAAAAATTTTTCAAAAATTTTTCAGAAATCATATTTTCAGATATAATGTTTTTTTAATGTTTGACAAATGTTGATATTAAAAGTTTACAGTTTGTATCTAAATCTTTGTTGTTTTTCATAGTGTGATTTTTGAGGAATTGTATTGAATCCAATTAGGGTCAATTTGACCCGGTCCGGTTACACAGAAATCGAACAGAACACAATCGCATAATAGGGGCACTTTTGTGAGTGTAGTATCAGATTGTAATTCTACTTTGATAAACCATGGTACTATGATTACTGTATTTATTTGCCATAGTATTTACATGACACTCCAAGGTGCTTCAAATAATAGTGGTATTACTATGGGACATATGCAAAATATGCATGTTTGAAAGAAAATGTGCTACTACCATGGTACTATTTTGTAATACCGGTATATATTTTTTGGTGCATTTATCTTGCTATTTCATAGCAAATTCAAATGCAAATCAAATAACAATGATTTAAAATAACTATTCAACTGGTTTAAGTATCCAAATACTCCGTGGCATTTTGTGTAGATTAGTGTTTGGGCTTATAGAGGATGTGTCGAAGCACTCGGGCAGTACTATTCTTAAAATGCTTACTCTAGTATTCCTCACTTCAGTGTGTCATTGTGAAGGAACTGTCCTGGGAGTGGGGCCACTGTCACTTTATTTACTCTCCATTGCAGCACTGAAGAACACTGAGTGCTGGAGCTGGCACACTGTGTAAAGCTATTGTGTCTTTGTTAAAAGAACAAATATAAAAAACTCTTCTGTAAGTTTTAAATAGGCTTTCCCTTTTGAAGAACCCTTTAAGTCCACTAAGGTCCAATTGCTTGAACAAGATAAAGTGTACAGTACGTCGCATCCATAAATTGGAGAGAAGTTACACTGCGCTGTTGCATGCATAAAATATTCATGGCCTGCTTTTCAAGTAAATATGTCTTTCCATCAGACTATAACCGCTGTTTTAATGCACTAGATGGAAGGAGTCCAAAAAGAAGGCAATATGTGTGGCGCATCTTACACAAGACGGGAATGCAGGGCAAATAGAAATGCTTTTTTATTAAAGCAAGTGCCTTGGTCTATATGTTTTCCCTTGGGCGCTGCAGCCACCATTCTGATCAGCATGGCAAGACAGAAAGTGCTCTAAAAACAGTTTGATCATATATATATAATTGATCAATACATTGCGTTAACAGCTCAGCAGATTGGGGCCTATGTCTATCTCTCCTCTGGGCCTTCCATGGGCCGTTTAAATAAAACACTCCAATTAGCTGATGGAGCTTTTCATTCTATTCCTATGTAGAATGATCACAACACGAGTCAATAATGCAGTTTCTCTTCGTGAAATGAGCAGTTTGTGTTTCTTTCTCAATGACATTTTCATGTTAGGATGACAAGAAAGGCTCTAAGAGGGACAATTTAAAGGGATAGTGCACCAAACAATTACTCACCCTCATGTCATTCCAAACCTGTATGACTTTAATCCTTCTGTGGAACACAAAATAAATATTTTGAAAATCATTTGGGTCCAAAACATTGTTGAATTAATCATTTAAAAAAAATTGGTGAGATTTATCAAAGAAGAAAGCCATGCAGGTTCGGAACAACAGTGATTTCTTTTCAATTATCCTGTTAAATTTATGTTTTTCCCTCACTGGAAAAAAAACATTTATACAAGATTCATCTATTTTTTTAAGTCTGTTTAATGCAATTTAAGTTGAAATGACTTAAACATCCAAGTTGATTGTACTTAAAAAAATTAAGACAGCAACTTTTTTCTTTTTTACAGTGGTTAGAATTCTTTATAGGCATGTAAGTAACTACATACTCAGGATTGGGCGGGATGTAATATAATAATTTAAGAAAAAGCAATAGTTGACTGCTAAGCTAAATATTAAGGGCAACACGTCACCTAAAATGTCTGTGGTGTTTATGGCCTTGTCTCTTTCTGATCTCTTTTTTGAAATATTTTCCCTCTTCAGGTATTTCCTGCTTTCATATAAAGCGGCTCTCTGGGAGGCACTGTTTACATTTATTGTAGACAAATAATCTTATTTCACATCTCCAGTGTCCTGCATTCATTCTGATGACACAAATGTAGCGCTGGAGTCGTTCTGAGGGGAGGTTCAGGAAAAAAGGGCTCTGTATTATATAACTGTCTGGAGGAAGGGTGGGGGGATGGAAACGCAGCCAAAAAATTTCTCCCTGGATGAGTGTGTCTGAAACATCACATTACGGCTTGGGGTTTTTTCCTCACAACATCTGATGAGATGGAGGCTTAGCACAATATGTACAAAAACCACATGTTTTACAGTACGTCAGTTTAGTCTGACGTGGCAACTTAATCCCCTTTTAATGCCTTGTTGGCCTTTTGCTTGCATTTGTCCTCACATTTGAATCATGTATTGCTTTAGCACACCAACACAGTACATTTATAATCATTTATTTTAATTAAAATACAAATCATGGTCTCCTCAACACTGACCCATCAGCCAAATTTGCATGTGTCCACTGAAAACTATTTTCCGGTATTTAAAGGGACTGTGAGAGGGACTTGATTTATTCACATTTAGTCCATGTGATTGTAAAAAAAAAAACACTGGCCATTTTGTTCACACAAAAAGTCATAGCAAATATATTACATATTAGTTATAAAGAGTTCCAGAATATAAATAAATCATCTTTTTACATTATTTACATGGATATGTGGATTGCATAAATGTGGATATGGATCTTCTGATATGCAACGTTGGTCTTTTTCACTTCTTACTGAAAGAAAAGATCACATGCTACAGTGGCCCCCCCAAAAAAAGTATCAGGACATGTATGAATGCCATTGCATTAGATAACAAAATATCAAGTGGCATTCATTTAATAAAAAGGAAAGCACATTAATGCAACAAAATTCAACTGGGTTTAAATAGGGGAGACTGGAGAGTGTTTTAACACAGAGTGAGTTTAACCAATCAGAAATGAGCTCACTATTATACATGATGATTCTGGCAGCTGTAAGACTTGATTGATGGTTTATGATGAGGCAAAACAATGTTGAGGCAAAAGTCATTTATGTTTATATTTTATGTATTTGTATATATTAATGTTTGAAATGTGATTATATTTTATATTTCATTGTTTTTCTGTATGACAATTATATGATGTTTTTGAAAATATACAATATAATGTAATATAAATATTTCCCCTTTGTTTCCCTTTTTGTATTGAACTGGATTTGGCAGTTAGTGATGGGGGTGGCATAATCATGATTTTAAACAAATATATCTGATTACCACAAGAAATTAATGCACAAAAGTGAAAACATACTACATTATTTATATTAACGTTACACCCATTCCCAGTAGAAGGGTGGCTTGTTAAATCAGTAGGCCTACTTGTAAAGTCAAGTAAAGTTTGTACTTGACATGAATTTATACTGTTTAGGGAGAATTATTAGAATTATAAACTGCTTTAATTCGAAGAAGACAAATATGGGAATATTATAATCAAAATAAGACGTTTAAACACTCCCCGGTCTCACTACTTTTTGGGGCCACTGAATGTTGACGAGCAGGCAGAGCAGGTGAAAACAAGTGAGTAGAACACTTCAAATCACACAGTAGGGCTCCATGGGGGTTTGTGTAGTCAGGCAACACGGCAAACAGGCTCGGAATCTCATCCTCAACTCCTTATTGAATATGAAACATATGATGGGGTTCGCCCCCGCTTGGGCGAACGTCAACCACACGGCCGCGGTCAGGAACACCTGAGGAAGCGCGTTTCCCTTCACAAACACCCGGATGTAGCACGAGACAATGTAGGGCGCCCAGAACAGCAGAAACGCCAGCGTTATCATGTAATACATCTTTCCTATCCGTTTCTCCATCTTGAACTCGTCCAGCACGAGCAGCCTCCGGTTGTTGGCGTTGTGTGACGCTTGTCTGATGCCCACTAACGTCGGCGGCGTCGGACCGCGTCCAAACCCCGCGATCCAGTTGGCAGCGGCCTGGCCCGTCGCGCCAGGTCCGTGAAAGGTCCAGTTCTGGCTGATAGCCGGAACCAGCTGCGCGGGTTTCATTTTACGGTGGTCGTAAACAAAACACAGCATTTTTACATACACGACGTGCGTCGTGGCCACAATCACAGCCAGCATGAGCATGAAGCCCAGCGTGTCGTTGGCTTTCACGTATCTGTGCTCGAATACGCACTGCTCTTCCTCGCGAATAAATTTGTAGGTCCCGACGTCGAAGACAGGTGGAAATGCCATGGCGACTGAAAGCGTCCACACCATACATATCACCGCGACGCATGTCCATAGCGTCATGCGTTTGGAGTAGAACCTGTGGTGCGCGATGGCCATATAGCGCGTAACGCTGACGCAGAACAGGAGAAACGCGATGTGGAAGCAGAACAAGACGGCCATGAACGCAATGATCTTGCAGCTGAGGATGCTGTAGCTCCATAGGGAGCCGCTGTTGATGGAGATCATCACGAACGGGAAGCACACAGCCGAGCGGATGATGTCTGCGACGCACAGGTCTAGGAGGAAGTAATATGGAGCCTTGTGGAGCGAGCTGTCTTTCAGCACCAGCACGGAGAGCACGGTGTTCCCGAGCAGGCTGATGCAGGTGATGAGCCCCAAAGACGCCAGTTTGACCGCAGACGCAGTGATGGCATAATTCTGGAGCGAGGGGTTGCTTCCCCCTGGATCACTTGTGTTCGCCATCTGTGCAAGCACAACCCAGCCTGGGCTTTGTAATCCGACATTAAGCAGTCCTGGTCCCCCAGTTTGATATACAAAATATCAGCCGTTAACAATCAGATGAGTCTTTTATATGACCATACCTCTAGCCGTTTGGAGATCCAAGACATCGTTTTGTTTCATGTCAGCGACGCACGATTCTTCATTCCTCAAACCAGATGCGGGGTAATCCATTATTTGTCGAAGAAAAGACACCCTAATAAACACGTATCCGTCTCACTCTCCATTGATCCGACGATCTGAAAATCGCGCTCGTGTAGGCCGAAAACAACCCAAGACGCTTCATCGAAACATTATTTTTGAATAAACAACAGTACGTACGCATCCAGTCTATTGTGGAGATCGCGGCGGAGCATGTTGCTAGTCGTCTTGTTCTTGTTTGGGGGGTGATGAAGGGGGAGTATAATGGGAACCTCCGATGACAGCAACGGTGGGTCCGTCTGGAGAGCGGTGCGATTCTGACAGTCTACACTGGAAGCAGCCGATGACGCCTCGCGACGCGTCGCGCCGCAACGGCTCGAGGCTGTCTACACTGAAGCTGCGCGTCATCTTGGGACGTTCGCTTACGCGGTCCAATCAGCTGTTATTTCGATGACTTCGACAACAGTTAAAATACATCTTTATATAAAGCCTAGGCTACTTTCTATATAGGCTAACATAAAAGTCTTTGTTATATGCATATCTGTAGCAGTAGGCCTACTAAAAAAAATATATATATTTTTGCAAAAGGCTTACAAAAAAATTCCTACGGATTCATATGGATAAAAAAGTTAAAGAAAAATAGTTGCTTTAAACCAATACAGCAGCGACCACATCAGCTGGATCTCATGAAACGGCCAGTTCTTTAAATATATAGATTCAAATCCATCGCCATCTGAGAAGGGATGTGGTTTTAATGTATATTAATTCAACAATGATCAATTAACAGTTGTGATGTTAGTGGCACATGAAATTAAATATGTTGGGACACTTAAGCCACACTTTTAATGTCTGAGTATCACTGCCTTACAGCCTATAGAAAATCTTAAACCAAGTGGTTCTGCAAACTAACTTTTCTCAGAAGAACTAAATGTTTAGCTATACTATACTTAAGCCATTTTTGCGATTACTTTTAAGAAACGGGTCCCAAGGTCAAATTTAGTGGATGTACGCCTAGTAGAGTAGGCCTATTTACATCAGTCTTAACACAGCTCATACAGTGTCGTTTAAGGTTGGCGGAGCGCTGTCCGTGGTGCTGAAGTGTTATTATGACTGATACCTGTGAGTCAGCGCGCTGTTGACTTGATAAAGTCCCTAAACCTGAGAACAGTAATAGAAAGAAACCCTTTGAAGTCACACTGTGACATGAGAGAGGGAATATATCAAACAAATGTCCAGGGCAATTCGTGTGCCTGAATCGATGGTACTTTCATTTCCAGGAGAGAAGCAGCACCAGTCAGTTTTGTGATGAATAGCGTCATCTAGCGTTCAGATATTGTCATGCAATTAAGCACAGTTTCAACTATTTCGATAGATACATTGCAAAAACATATATCTAATAGCAATCCTGTTAAAACAAAATATTAAACCAAGTGACATTCATCGTAAAGAAAGAGACCCCAAAAATATTTTGACACTTAATTAAATCACACTTTAAAAGCCATTGCATGAGATAAAAAATATTAAACCAAATGACCACAGACGAAGAACAAACAACCAACGAAAGACAAATACTCACCGAACAAATTGATCGTGTGATCAAATCAGTAATTAACCCATTTAATCCCAAATTTTTCCCAGACATAAAAATATCCAAATCATGTGTCATTAGTATCCCTTTGAAACAATCAATCATAATTTTTTGAAATTTTCATGGAAAAGTGTGTGAAAAAGTGAGTTTTATGATCGGTCACAATTGTGACCGGTGGGATAATGTGTTGTATCAACCATTGGACAGACTGAATATAGGTCTATTTGACCTGTGCAGTGTGTTTGTGTGTGTGCGCGTGTGTTTGTGTGTGCATGTGTGTGTGCATGTGTGTGCGCATGTGTTTGTGTGTGCATGTGTGTGTGCGTGTGTGTGTGTGTGGTGTGCATGTGGGGTGTGCGTGTGTGTGTGTGTGCGTGTGTTTGTGTGTGCATGTGTGTGTGCATGTGTGTGCGCGTGTGTATGTGTGTGTGTGTGGTGTGCATGTGGGGTGTGTGGTGTGCGTGTGTGTGTGTGCGTGCGTGCGTGTGGGGTGTGTGGTGTGCGTGTGTGTGCGTGTGGTGTGCGTGTGGGGTGTGTGTGTGGTGTGCGTGTGTGTGTGTGGTGTGCGTGTGTGTGGGGTCTGTGGTGTGTGTGTTGTACGTATGTGTGGGGTGTGTGGTGTGCGTGTGTGCGGGGTGTGTGTGTGTGTGTGGGGTGTGTGGTGTGCGTGTGGGGTGTGTGGTGTGCGTGTGGGGTGTGTGGTGTGCGTGTGGGGTGTGTGGTGTGCATGTGGGGTGTGGTGTACGTGTGTGTGGGGTGTGTGGTGTACGTGTGTGTGGGGTGGGGTGTGCGTGCGTGTGCGGTGTGTGTGTGTGGGGTGTCTGGTGTGTGTGTGTGGGGGGTGTGCGTGTGTGTGGGGTGTGTGTGTGGGGTCTGTGGTGTGGTATGCGTGGGGTTTGTGGTGTGTGGTGTGCGTGTGTGTGCCTACCTGTAATTGCGTGTGTGTGTGGAAAATTAGGTAGAATTAGTTAGCTAGCTAGTCTTTGTGTGTGTGTGTGTGTGTGTGTGTGTGTGTGTGTGTGTGTGTGTGTGTGTGTGTGTGTTTCTGTGTATGTGTCTGTGTGTAAAATTAGGTAGAAAGTTAGGTAGCAGCAGAAAGTAAGGTAGAACAGTTAGCCTATGTGTATTAGCATGCAGATACAATGGGTTATCCCACTGGTCACTATTGTTGCCGGTGACATGTTTGTGAGTTCTATGACCACATTAAACAAAGTTGAGTAATTGCAAATGCATATATCAATACTAGACACCTTAAACATGATGTGTACCAAAAATCTATGTCCTATCTTTATGTTAACATACTTTACTAATCTTTTCTTTGCGGGAGCTTTCTTGCTGCCATCCTCTTCTCTTGGCACAAACAGGAAATAAACAGCTCTGGTCATGTGACGATTTACAGTAAACATGCGACACTGCACATATTTCATTGAGACCCTTTATTATTTCAATATCTGCTGGAAATGCACTGATAGATCATTCAGTAACATTTTTATAGCCTTAGAAATGAAACATTTTTTTACGGTCACTATTGTGACCGGTGGGATTTAAACATCATAACTATTATAAATGTGTGTGCAGATAAATGAGGGGCACTTCTTCCTGACCAAAATGGTTCTTAAAAGTTCTTAAGAAAACTGCTGTTTTGTTCTGTGCTCTTGTCTAAAAATAATATATAAATTATGTAGCACTAAAATTAGTAGAACAAATCAAACAAACTATTGTAACAGTCATTAAATGGTTCATTATGAATGAAATTGCATTACTCACCTGTCATGCGTTTACTAAAATATACCTTTTAAAAAAAAAAAAAAAGCAACTGCAAAAGGACTCCAAAAAGGGATGTCAGTTCTGAGAAAAACTTAATATGCTTGCAGATGCCACTTGGTCTGAAATGTCAAAATGAAGTTAAATTCATACATTCATCCATTTCTGGTTCACATGAAGCATGTATGGAAGCTTGTTTCCGCCACTGAATAAAAAAAAAAAAAAAAGCTAATTTGGACTTTTTATCTCACAATTCTGACTTTATAACTCACAATTGTGATGTAAAGATGTAAAATAAATATAATCTGAATTGTGGGTTAAAAAGTCGCAATTATCTTTCACATTTTTTTATTCCATGGGGGAAACAAATTTCCATAATAATGACAGGCATCAGGAATTTACTTTTTTTGCCTTGAATTGATCATGTGTCCTCCATCATACTGTAAAATGTACATTGCCTATAATCACAGTCTCAGAGACTGCAGGTATAGGCCTAAAAAACATGAATAAAAACAACATTTTAACAGTCCTCTCAATTATTTGATTTGTTTCATTGTACTTTCTGCAGAGGTGGACAGTAACAAAGTACATTTACTTGAGTACTGTAAGTACACTTTTTGAGTATCTGTACTTTACTTGAGCATTATTTTTTCTTGAAACGTTTTACTTTAACTTCATTACATTTAAAAGACAAATATTGTACTTTTTACTCCACTACATTTCTGTCAAGGTCATGGAAATTAAAGTCGGTTTGACGTCAGAACCTGACTGATGTTGATTTCTGAAGTCAACCTGATTTTCATTTTCAACCACAATACAACGTCTGTCCAACGTTGGAGATTAACGTCAATCTGACGTTGGATTCTGCCATCAACCTGATTTTCATTTTCAACGTTGGGTTTGGTCTTCTAAATGCGAATTTTGTCATTGTTTTGGAGTACACTAGCTTATTAGGGGTGTAACGATACACAAACCTGACGGTTCGGTTCGTCCCACGGTTTTGAGGTCTCGGTTCGGTTCGGTTCGGTTCTTTTATTTTTTATTAAACAGTGCTTTAATGAACAAATTGTGTCCTTGTCTTTAAATTAATTCAATTACAAGTAAACGTTTCTCAAGGATAACAAAATTATCTGCTAATGCTGTAAACTACAGCCCTTACTTGCACATTACTATAACATTAAAGCTTAACAATAGAGCCTAGACTTTTAGCCTAAATGATTTGATAATAATCAACACTCAAATAACAAATTGTATGAAAACATGTAAACTACACATAAGGCAATTTTTGCATTAAAATGTTTTTACTCTAATTTGTTAATGTTATATAATAATTTACACCGTTGCTGTTATTTTCATGACAACTATTTTAAACATACATTAAATAATCAAGATATCATAAACAGGTTAAGTAAAATATAATATATAGGCTAATATATAGCCTACCATTTATTTAGTGAAAGAGTTAGCAAACCAGCAAGCTGTGGACACTGAATGACTTGCCTGAGGTAAATATAAAGCTATGTGAAAAACTAAGCGTTTTATTGACGTATTTCCGCTGTTGAAACACTGATTGAGTGTTTACACGAGTTATGATGCCTTTCAGTAAGTATACTGTATCTTTCAACATACCTTCGGTTGTCCATTCATGTTTATTCTGTAACTGAGGAAGAGATGATCGCGCTCCGCGCTGCCGCATGCATACAGTGATATCTGTCACGCCACATCTAAGAGCGCCAAAACGGCATTTATTGTTTACATTTCGTGATCAAATAGACATAATTTGAAAGATTACACCTTGCTTATTATCAAAAGTAACAAAACACTGAGCTTATT